CAGCTCTAACTGCAACCCGGCTCTTGGTTTCGGATCAGAACCAGAACAGACTCAGATCTCAGCTGATTCTACTCCACAGGTTCTCACATCTACCTATAAAAGTGGCACCAGCCAATCACAGCGAGCTGATCCGAGACGGACCAATCGCAGCGAGCGGACACAGCAGCTCCATGATGAAGATGGTAACTGTGAGGATGATGATGAAGAGAAAGATTCTGGTTCTGGTTCTGGACCTGCAGAGATTCTTCCAGCCTCTGAATGGAGCTGTAGCTCCGATCAGAACCACTCCAGGCCCGATCGGACCTCCTGCCTGAGGTTCTGTTCGTCTCCAGCTCAGCGCCAGAAGAAGCCCGGCTGCAGCAAGCGGGACCCACTTTGAGCCGTTTCCATGGAGACAGGAGAAGTGAACCGGTAGTGTTGGGTGATCTGACAGCTGATTGGTCAGGGAGGGTGATGTCACAGGATGGGAGGGGCAGGAAGCCCGAGCGTCCCAGGAGGAAGAGTGTAAGGCCGGTCTTTGTTCTGCTGCCAGACCCGGTGTGCCGCAGAGACCCGAGACACACTGCGGTGCCGCCCGCCTTCCGGCTGATCAGAGCCGGACCTGGATTCTGAAGGACTCCTGAACAGCTTTTTTGCAGCTGCTCCTCTAAGGTTGCTGACATAGTTCCAGAACCTCCAGAACTTCCTCAGCTGAACATCATCACCATCTGATATGGAACCAGAACCAGAACTTGGCTGGAGGAAACGGACCTGGAACCTGAAGAGGTTGAGCCACTTGGTTCGGCAACCAGCTTGACGTAGATAAACCACCTGACCCGGTCCAACTGGAACAGAACCATCGGCTCTGCCCAACCTGGTCCAGTGAGGAGGGAACTTCTCCCTCCGCTAGAATCAGCTAGCTTCTCCTTAATCTAGCTCAGTGTTTCTCAACGGGGGCGTTCAGAGGACGGCAGGGGCGCTGGCGGACATTTTTACAAAAGGGGGGCGCTGGGATTCCTCTGGGGGGCGTTTGGTCGAAGGTAAACTTTACACCTTAAATGCACAACAATCAGCCAGCCAGCTTCACCCTCAGCTAACTTCTCCTTCATCTAGCTTCTCCTTCATCTAGCTTCCCCTTCATCTAGCTTCACCCTCAGCTAGCTTCTCCTTCAGCTAGCTTCACCCTCAGCTACCTTCACCCTCAGCTAGCTTCTTCTTCGTCTAGTTTCTCCTTCAGCTAGCTTCTCTTTTAGCTAGCTTCTCCTTCATCTAGCTCTTCTGTCGGCTAGTTTTTCCCTGGGCTAGCTTCACCCTTGGCTAGATTCAGCTAGCTTCTC